AGCACAAATCTTCATTTAGACATGTATGTCCCTAGCCTAGGAGGAGAAGACATGTATTTGAAGTCACATTTTAGTGCTTTTCACAGCCTCCCACTGTCTGTGGCCCAAATTCAGCTCCTGGTTAAATTGGTAAGTAAGTGGTTTTTTTTCTATTTACATTGGCAGCAAAGACACAAGACACATTAACAAAGTTAGATGCATATGACTGCTAGCATGCTTCATGTTAAGCATGCAGTTAATTTTAAGGGAATGGAAAATGGAGAGCAAAGTTCTTGATGTCTTTAGAAAGCTGTGTTCCAAGTGCTTCAAATTTAACATAATTCCATATGGAAAATCTGATTGCTTAAAGTATTAATCTACCTGTCACTCTGAAGACCCCAACTCAGGAAACTGCTTAACACTAAGGGGCTTAAGCAGGTTTTGAGCCCATGCTCAGCATTATGCAAGTGCTCGTGTGTCCTCCCTGAACAAGAATTATCTCCCAGCTGGCTCCCAAGAGATCTAGCAGGGAATACTGCAGGAACAACAACATCTATAAAGAAGCTTCAACACCTCACTCCTTTTTTCCCCTTCCCACCCCTCAATTTTAAATAAACAGGAAAGACAAGATTTGGAGATCAAGTCAAATGTCCAATTTATTTTTATAACTTGAAACTGGAACAAACGTTGTTTTGAACGAGCGTACAAATGAAATGGTAGACACATGCTGAACTCAACATTGTGACAATAAGGGAAAAAAAAAAGAGGCCAAAATCTTGTACAGAGAATAAAAGGAACAATAAATATTTCACTAAGCCATATTGAAATGACCTCCAGCCATCTCAACATTTTATCCATAATAAAAAAAAAAGTGCTCTTGTTTTTTAAACAGAGCACAAATACCAAGCAATAATAAATAGTTCCAAACTTGTAGTAAAAGACGAAACCTCCAAGTAAACAACAAAAGCTCATACAATAAGTAATAGAAAAAGGTAATAAAAATATTTTGCCTTGCCGGTACAAATGCAAACAACTTAAATCAACGTTACTTTGCTTTGCAGTTCTAAAATACAAAGAGCACCATAAAAATGAGTTTGCCTGTGATAAACAAAACCTTGGACTGTCTTTTACATAGGACTGGGATGAAATGCTGTCTTTTTGACTCTTTCCTTAAAATCAGTCTTTTTTCTTTCTAGAACAGGTAACCAGGCCTGTCCTGCTGCCATGGGAGTCAGCCAGAGTTTTTCTCTGGACATCAAAAGGCAGCAGGACTAGACACAATGGAAGTAATAAATTCCACCTAATAATAATAACAATAAAAATAAACTATCTAAATTGTGAAGATAACTATGGCAGCATTCTAGCTATTGTATGTCTGTTATATTGTGCTTACGGCCTAGTAAACTATGGTTCTCCTAAGCAAGAAGAAAGGAGGGTTATTTCATTATCACGACAGTCTGCAGAAACACAAACCTTGTGCTTTTGGGGTGACTTCCTGTCAGCTTCAGTGATTTAAGTCACAAAATTAGACAATTGCTGGTGTTAGCTATCCTGGATAATTAAAATAATAATAAAAAAAGAAGACAGAGAGAGAGAGAGAAACAAAAAAAAAAAAGAGGAGACTGGAGCTCCTAAACAATTTATACTAAAACAAAAGGTGAATTCATTCTTAAATCAGTCTACTGTAGACTGAAGACCTGTGGTTAACGTCACATCTCCTCACAGATCTTCTGATCTTCAGATCACTGACATACAGCTAAGGGGTTCTGCTGAATTCTGTGACATTACTCTGGATTTATGTGAATGTCAGAGATCAAAACTTTCCCCAAGAAGTGAAAATGTGCCTTTAAGGGCTCACATTCCACCCTCAGATATGACAGAGCAATCCAGTGATGAATAATTCCTGATTTATATCAGTTTAATTGAGATCCAAAATTTGTTCAGAAGTCTTAAGGGCACAATGTTCAAGCCAGGAGGATGTATCTATGGGTTAGATAGCTGGAACCAAATTCTCCTTGTTGTCTCACCCATGCCTCTCCCTGTGCTCCAGCAGTTTTGCACCGATGAAGGCAGAGGAAGAATTTGGCACAGTAATTTTCTTTTTATTATCATTTATTTTTTGGTTCAGTTTACCGTCATTTCCTGGAACGAGGTTGCGCATTTTCTCCTTCTCCCCTCCGCTAAGCGCCTCTTCTGTCATCTGTCTTCGCCTCGACCCGAAAGGGAGAGAGAGCCAGAGAGAGAGAGAAAGAACAGCAAAGAAGCGAGAAAGCAAAAGGCACAGGATTTCATCCCAGTCCCAAACATTCAGAAATCTATGGAATGTACAATTAGGAGTGAACAGCAGCAAAGCAGATAATAACATGGACTGGCAAGACCTGTACACGGAATAGGTCCTGTTCTGACAGGGAAGAGGAGGGCTGTGCCTGGACCAATTTTACTTCCAGCCGGTTGCGACCATGCCAAGAGCAGAGCCAACACCGGTGCCAGGGAGGATGCACCAGCTCGGGCTTTTTTAAAGGCTCTAATGACTTTCTGGGAGAAGGGGTGGGAGAGCGCGAGTGGGAGGCGGCAGTGAGAGGTGAGATGTGTCTGACATCACGGGGCTTGAAAAGGGGGAAAAAACCTCCTTTTTCCCTCTCAAATCTGCGGGGAAGCCATGGGAAGTCACCTCGGACACCTTTACGGAAACCAAATTTCGTCTACCACGAATGACCATCCAGCCTGGTTCGACCATACCTGGGAAAACCTTGATGCAAGGGGTCCAGGCAACTCTGACGTTATTTAGAGCCCTGTGGGAACAGCACTTTTTTGTAGGCCATTTCTGACGAAAAAAAAATATATATACAACTAAAATTATTTGTGAACAACAACAACAACAAAATAAAAATAAAAAAGCACTTAATTATTTTGTTTTGTTTCTTTTACTCAAAGGTCGTCTAACAACCTCCTTTTTTCCTGTACAATAAGGACTTCACATACAAATTTTTTTTTATTTTTGCGATATTTTATCCTGCCAAATTAAAAAAATATATTATGGCAGCCTGTTTGTTTGTTTTTATTTTTATTTCCAAATTCACTAACAAAAAGGTACATTAAATCCCTTTAAAAGGACAAGCGTACAGTTAAAAAATTACAAGCTTCAGTAAAAATACAGCAAGTGCCTACATCATATGAATCAACCAATATCAATATCCATTCCAGAAGGGGAAGGGGACGGAAAAGGGGAAGAAAAAAAGAGAAAAATAGGTACAGGTCAGAAACGTGATTTTTTTTTCTGCAAAGCAATAACAATATTAAGCACTTTTTTCTACATACTTTTTCTACATGGTGTAGCAATCACCTTTTAAATCCCCAAATACAAGTCTCTATACATTTTTGAAATAAAAATTCAACACCCAAGGCAGAAAAAAATTTACTAAAACTCAAGACTTTACAGTTACAGTGACAAGAACAAATTTATAGACCCACCATTTAAATTTTACTGCAACATTTTCAAGGAAAAAAGAAAATTTTTTTTTTTTTTTCTTTCTGGTTTTGTAAAATGCCCAGGCATTCTCCATTATTACAAATACTGGTCCACTTTTACAGTAATCAAGAAATTTTAATATATATAATATATACTAAAACCCCGTCACCAAAGAAAACAATATACACATGGCCATTATGGCATTTTTTTAATAACCTATTAAGCAAACTTTGAAAAAAAAAAGATTGCTCAAACACACATACACACAATTTTTTTTTACCCTTGTATGTATTCAATACTGTAAACGTATTTTAAGACAGAGTGCACTAAATTTAACTTTTAAAAAAAATTAGCCGTTGTTCCTGAATTGCTTTTTCTCATTCAATGATAACAACTTGTAATTTGTGTCATTTGAGTTTTAATTCAGCAGTAAATCATTTCCATTCCATTTCCTAAGCAGCGTTGTCCTGAAAAAAAAAAAAAGGCTGAGAATAATTCAGCTAATGGATGTCCGAAGTTGTGCTGGGTATACATCTTCATTTGATTGGGTCTTATGGCATTTTCATGTCCACTATCTTCAACCAGTAAATTTTTTTTTAAGTAAATGTGGCTCTTTTTTTTTTTTCTAAAGAATGTACTTTTCTTGTTTTACTTTTTTTTAAAAGTCTTTTCATTTTCACAAAAACGTTTTGCATTTGTCTCAAGAGACTCAAATAGGAAGATCAGTTTTCAAGGCACTCACGTCAAATTGAATGGCAGTAGAAAAACTGTCCAATAAATTATTTTTATTTATTTTTCTTTATAGTGCCAGTATTGTGAATGCCATGCTTAGCAACACCGACACTTAATCTCAGCTGTTCCCTTACTGTTTAACCCACCTTTGGGCCAAGTATAGAAGAATATGATGTAATTTCTTGTTGAGAAGCCATTTTTCTTTTAACCACAAACAAAAGCTTTAAAGTGCGGGTCAACATAATTAAAATGTCTAACCATAATTGTCCACTGTTTGTTAATATTAGTCTTAATAGGCTTTACAAAATTTTAAATTTGAAAGCAGAGCAGGTGCATTCTTCTCTTCTTTACACTTTTCTATTCTAATGCTTTTCATGTAACATAACTCTGTTCCCAGTTCAGTCAATTCAGGCTTCAGCGGGAGCAGAATCTTGCCAATACAGGTAATTCAAGCCAAATTTATTGTTTCCCTTCCTTGCAATAACATTATTGTACATCATATAAGATAGTTCTAATATTTCTATTCATAAACCCAGTGCCTTAAAGTCGATTTTTTTATCAAGAATTTCTCATCTCGTTTCAATTATTTTAACTACAGCAAATCTGGGCTAAGGAAACGGCATGTACAGATGTCCTAAACTCAGTTAGACTTGTGTTTGTGCCGTTCAAAAAGAGAAAAAAAAATATGGCGTTCGATTCCTCCAAGGTTTGAAGAGAATATTGCAATACTTCAGATCTACTGTTATTATCAGTGGGAAGAGGGAGGGAAAGACACCCCAACCTGGGACAGAATGGCAACCTTCTGTTGCCATCTCTTAAACAACAAGAAGAAACTATCTGATAATAATGCACAATTAAGAATGTTATTTTGAATGTGGTTTTGAATGTAGCTGCCTTCTGAAAATACCTGCACCCATGTCTTTTTAGTCGACATAACTTCAATGATGAAATCTATCTAGAAAAGGCCTCTGTCATTAGCAACATTGTCAGTGCTACATATTAGATCCAATTCCAAACGAAAGTGCTAATTTTAAAGATTGTTATCCGCTGTACAATTTTGAGTTCCCTAATCTTCAAGGTTATTTAAAAAGAGGACAGGAAAAAAATGAAAAAAGAACGATCTCTGTTAAAATGCTGGCTTCTTCACAAGAAATTACACGCGCTTAGCTTAAATTTCAACAAAGCAGCGGCCCAAAAATTATAATTTAAAAAGATATGTTTCTCCCCTACAATGCAAGTAATCTCAGGCTACGACTGGGTAAAATTAAAAAGGGATACCCAACAAAATTTTAAAAGAAATTTAAACAGAAAGAATAAAAAAAAGTACCTGCACATGCCAAAAAATTACAAAAACCCAATAAATACAGAAATTATTGCACAGTTAAAAGGCTCCACAATTTTTACTGCCTTAATCAACCCTCGGGTTTAATAGAACTTTGTAGACACAGGTTATATTTAAGTGCCAAAGTCTGGCACCTACCATAGTTATGCTAAGTTATGTTTACGGAGGCAAGTTAGGTCATCTTTTCTCAGTTGGCAATAGTTAAACTGTACAAATAAAATGTTACCTAGACCCCTGAAATTTAACCTAGTGGGGGGTGGGAGTTGGGGGGGCCTTAGCTTCTTTCTGCCTGCTCAATTTTGACGTCATTTGTCAGCAAATGTTCTCCATGCCACTTTTTCATGTGTTTCTCCAGGGTGCTGTAAACACTGAAGGGCATCTGGCAAATGTCGCAGCGGTAGACCTCCTTCCCTATCTGGCCATGCGTTTTCATGTGACGCGTCAGCTTACTGCTCTGGGCACATGCATAGTTGCAGAGCTCGCATTTGTAAGGCCGCTCTCCAGTGTGGCTCCGACGGTGCACCGTTAAATTGCTGCAGTTCTTAAAGACCTTGCCACAGTACTCACATGTATCACTCCTCCGCCCTTCCTTGGAGCTGGGTCGCCCGGGGCCGGGGCCGCTGATGTGGGGAGTGCTGCCTCCGCTCGCCGTGCCGCTGCGCCCTGAGAGCCCCCCGTCGAGCATGTCCCCCGGCGGGGTGGAGAAACGCAGGCTGCCGTTCTCCGAAGAGTGCTCGGAAGAGGTCGCGAAGGGGGATTGTCGGGAGTCTGTGAATCCTAGAAACGGATCCTTCATGAAGTGCCTTGATGCTGCATACCCTACCAGCCACTGGGAGTAAACATTTTCAGAAGGTATTATTGTTGCTGGTGGCAAGTCCAAATCTTTCTCTACCTTTATTCTTTTAGAAGAATTGTTTAAGCTGGGGCTTGTGATAGGTGTCGGCTTGCGAGGGAACAAGTTTGGGAAGGGTTCACCTGGGCCAAAGTTTCTTCCATTGACTGTCCCCTCCTCAGTGCGGTCCAGCTCTCCTACCACTGAGTCTTCATCGCCTGGATCTCTCTGACAGAGATCTCGAGGACACAAGTCTCGCTGGTCAGAAGACCTTTTCATGAAGCTGCTCCTTTTCTGTTTTTCAGCTAGCATGTCATTATATTGCTGGATGGCACCTAGACTTACATTCTCTATAACCTTTCCCAGGACGAGGGATTTTTCGTCTGGTAACGATTTGGAACCATTTTCTCGGTTGCGACTCAGCTCTGAGTCCATACTAAAGCTTGACTCTGGCCTGCTCTCATTTTCAAGCTCCTCTTCCTCCTCCTCCTCCTCCTCTTCTTCTTCATTGTCATGGCCCAAGGAAGGATCACTCTCATTCCTGAAATCTGCCTCACTGGATTTTAGTCCCTCTCCAGTGAGCTCGCTTGTGCCTGGCTCAGGGGAACTAGTGGTGGACAGTCCATCATCTGACCTGCCTGTCATGGAGCCAGCTTTATGCATATGTGTTTTCATATGACGCTTTAGCTTGCTGGCCTGGGAGCAAGCATGGTCACAGAGTTGACACTTGTAGGGCTTTTCTCCTGTGTGACTGCGGCGGTGCACAATAAGATTACTCTGGAACTTGAAGGTTTTCCCACAGAATTCACAGGACTTACTCTTGGCCTGAGGCTGGGGAGGCGTAGTGCTGCTGGGGGGCATTGGTGGCAGTGGTGGGGTGCTCAAAAAAGGTGATTTAGGACTTGGCTGAAAAGGATTCAACAGGCGATGCATAGGGTTGGTGCGACTGGGCGACACTGGCGGAGGGGTGGAACTGTTTCCTGCCAGTTCTCGAAGCCTTCTGGAAAAATCCATCGCTGGGGACTCAATTGCCATGGGGTTTAAACGCATAACTCTGTCAAAGGCACTGGGATGCTGGGCAACTAACCCCATTTCTTCGGCACTAAGGCGATGTGGATCCAGATGATGACGAGGCGGCGGGCTGAAAAGTGGAGGTGTGTTTGGGAGCCGACTCTCACCAAAGCCAGGGTGTTCACGCAAGATGGGTCCTGTCATCCGTAAGAGATTGAAAGGGTTGTTGTCTCCCAGGAAATTCATCAGCGGGGACTGTGCAACAGTCTCTGGTCCCAGAGGAGGAGGGATGGTGATGCGTGGAGTAAGGGAACTGTTTGAAGGGCTTGTTTCCAGGTAGATGCGGAATCCATGTGTGTTCTGGGCATGCTGAAGCAAGAACCAAGCGCTATTAAAAGGCTGCTTGCATGTTGTGCAAATATAGCTTGAAGGCTCATCTTTACCTATAAAAGAAAAACAGAAAGAACACTCAAAAAATAATACAGTGGAGAACATTTAAATGCAGTTGGCATGCACTTTATTTTGCTAGCACATTTCCTCCTTAGCATTTCTGAAAGAAGGATTTAATTGCAATGTATTGACTGATATAAATTGTTGAACAGCATATTTACTCACCGTGCTTATTCATTTAGCATGTATGACAAATATCACACATACACACTGGTGCTATATACATTTATATCCTCTAACTGGCATATAAAACCTTCCTTTATGACGCAGGAGGATCCAAATCCTTTCACATGTTTATTCACAGAAAGGAATTTGTTTCAAGGGATTTATGACTACATATGAAAATCAAACAAAACGTGGTGCTGTAGGTTTTATGGGGCACCTGGAAGGAGCTTCAGTATCATTTTCACTCTTTCATTTTATATTTTTATATACTTCATGCAGCAAGTCCCCTGGGATCTTGCTGCATTTAATTTATACATGCTCCAGTCACACTGGCCCTTCCATTTTTAAAATACTATGTAGGTATTTATCTGCACAAGACCTATTAAAGTCAACAGGAGCTTGGAAAATGTAGCCTTGCATAAACCACTTTGAGATCCTTTTTGCCAAAACACCAAGAAGCCACTCAAATGAAACATCCGGTAATCAAAGCCGACAGCACAGTTGCAATTAACAGTAACAAATGTCGGGCCGTGCTTGAACTGGGTCCCAAGAATTTCTGAGCCTGCCCTCCAACGCAGAAATGCTTTCCAGAGCCAAAAACCTTGTTCTGTTTGCCTTTCCAGCCTCTCCGAGTGACTGCACGGCAGTGGAAGGCATTCCTTTAACCTTGATTCAGCTTTACATAAAAGACAGGTGTGGACAAGCCTGTGCTACAGTCATAATTTTGCTCGCAAGAAAATTCCAGTCCTGAGCACAATATAAACTATGTGCTATCTTCAGAAAGCTTTTTTTTTTCTTTCCTTTTCAACTCCTCTGCAAGGCTCCGACTCTGATAAATTCATAAGTATGCGTCAACTTGGAAGTCACCGTCCAGGATTTGTTTTTTTGAATGAAAGGGAGGATGCCTGAAAAACTGGGAGTTTTTCCCTTCCTGTTTTCAAAAATCTAAATGTAAAAGCTTCTTTACTGCCTTGTGTGTTTGCTTGTTTTTGCAGGCGTGCACTTCGGCTAGCGATGGGTCCCACTGCACCCAGAGGCACTAAACTTCCTGAACGCTGAAAACCTGAGCGAAACTTCCTGCCCACCCAGCGACCCGGGACGAGCGGCGGCTCCGGGCCCCTCCAGACAGGGCCGCTCTCATCCACCCAACCTCTCGCCTCAGCCTTGTAAGGGGAACACAACTGTATTGGCACAACGAACTTAAATTAAAGGCCCAGCCCGGCAGGAAGGATTGCCGACGCCTCCTGGGAACTGTGGGGACCTGGGGAAAAAAATAAGAAAAAAAAAAGAAAAATAGAAAAAATAAAAAAGAACAAATTTGGGAAGGGCATCCTGCTTAAGAAAAGTGACTCTAACTACTATTGACACTAATGAAAGCCACGTACAAATGCTGAAAGGAGCTGATACGTTATCCCTTAAAGTCTCCTCCATGCTGAGGCAGTTGGGGAGTTTTATGTCAGCTCTGCAGCAAAAGCAACAGTAAATGCTCGCGTTATTACTTCAAATATTTAAATTTCTGTTTCTTACAGAAATATGATGAAAACGTCTAGACCTTTAACTTTTCTCGCACGGCAACATGTGTAGTATAAAAAGTGACAGAAATCACTGAAGCAGACTAAAGTATATAACATACTCTGTCAAAAGCTTTTTTTAACAATATGTTTTACCTCAGCTCACCCTAGAATAGATTTTAATAAAGCCCCTTCTGAAGTGTGATCTAATAGCAAATGAAGTGCAGCATCTTACAAGGTCATATATCTTCAAATTAAAGAGTGCTCTGCACCCTTCACCTTCATTTTATCCACTCTAATTAATCGATTTATTACCCACAGCTGTTCAATTCTTTCACTTTTAAAGTCATAGCATGCCCTTTTCTTGTTTTTTTTTTCATTTTAATTTAAAAAATAAAGTATATGAGCATATGTGTGTGTATGTGCATTCTCTTTACGTAGTTCAAGAGCTGACAGGAGGAAGAAAACAGCTGTGTGTTAGACGACAGCGACAACAACAGCAAGACATTTACTTCAGAAAAGGCACATACATAAAAGGATGGATTCCTGAGCAGGCTGAGGATCAAGGCCAGTCTAAAGCTGAAATGGCTGATTAAAAAAATTACCCTCAAAATGGCAGCTGGCTGGATGCTTGCTGCTACATGTTATAGGGAACAGAGATGTTTTGTTTTGTTTTGTTCTCCAAAAATTCAACGCCGTGAAATTTGAGTAAGGAAAGTAGCCCCCAACCCCCACTTCAGTTTTCTTTCAAACAGGGCAAATAATTAGTGCTGTTACTGATAAAAGATTTGCCAGCGATCAGTCTCCCAACTATCGTGTCTTCCTTTTTGTTTTGTTTAGCTTTTACACCCTAAACACTCCTCTTGAGGAGGCCTCTACGTGATGGCAAAATTGACTGTATGTGACCTGACTACCACACTCTGACTGCTTCCTAAATGACAGTGCATGGCTCTGTGTGTGTGTGTATATATATATATATATATATATATATAAAACTACTTTCAAAACCCTCAAAGTCTCTCCCCAGACTCCCCTTTTAAAAAAATAAAATAAAATGTTCATTTCCATATTATCACTTCATGGCTATCTTGCCTAGAAGTTGCCCTGAGCAGTGTAGACGCTCACTTTTAAGAACAGAACAATGTCAAAAAGTCTTTGAAGATCCACTTGGAACATTTTTATATTCAAAAACTTGCTAAATATTTTAAACATGCCCAGAAAGAGCCATGTATTGCTCAAGAATGATCCTTATATTTAATAATGCAGTGCACCTACACTATAAAACTCTTTGTTATAAGGCTACTTTTGATATATAGCTATCTTAATCCCTCGCCACCTGCACTGAAGTCTGCCTAAATACCCACTTTATGACAACTAGCTATATAGGCTTTGCCATATGCAGTCTTTATCACTTTAGTATGTGCTTGACTTTGAGCATGTGAGTAATCAACATCAATGAAACTTAAGCATACGCTGAAGTGCTTTGTTGGATAGTGATGAAATTACTCATGCGCTTAGAGTTAAGCACAAGGCAAGACTTCATTAATATCGTTCAATGAATTGCATGTGGCTCTAACCCTATGGTCTGTAAATAGACAAAATTTTAGGGATGGATGGGTCAAGTATTTCTTTTTATCTTTACACTCGTTGGTAAGTATCTATGCATATACTGAGATGTGACACCTGGACCATAAGTTCTCAGCAATGAATGATGGCTTCAGAGTTGCACTAAATCCAAACAGGTACAGCAGAGGAGGTCAGGCCTAAGACAGGTTTGTAGGCCTGGATCCTATTCAGATACAGGTTTATATCAAGAAGCCTTTGATTTTAAGGCTAAACAAGACCATGAAATTAAAGAATGAGATGACTGGGATAAACCTCAAGGGTTCATCTTGTCCAATTCCTGAGCCAAGGCAAGTCCGTATCTATATATCTATTCAGACCTCTGAGACACAGCCAATTATTCAATTATCCTGCTTCAAAGGCCACCCCAACTACTGGAGGCACTACAAGCCCTTCCCAAAGTCCACGTCACTGCTGCTCATCTTTACTATCGTGAAGTCTAGATTTTTACTGTTGCAATTTAAGATCATAACATTTTGTCCTACCTACATGGGCATAAAGAACTTAGGAAAAAACTAATCCATACCTTACAGCCATACAGCTTTCATCTGATCCAAAGATTTCCATTTCAACCAGTCCACGTCTTTTAAAGCCTCCTTTCTCCAATCTGATTTTCAAACTCCAAGTGAGAGGGAGTCCAATATTCTCTTGGTATTCTATGACATTGGTTGACTACCTTTAGTATTAAAAAATGTCTTATTTTCAGTTCAACTGCCAGCCATTAGATCTTGTATTGTTTTTATTTGGTAGATTAAAAATCTCTCTAGTATCTTCTCCCTTAGTAGGTAATTATAAACTATGAATTTATTGAACACTCTTGCCTTTTCTGCATTTAATGACAAAAGATGGTCTTTTCCAGAAATATTAAAATGTGTTCCTTCCATTACTGCATGACAAATTACGTTCCGTTCAAAATGTCAAAGCAATAATGAGCTTTTTTTTTTTTTCTGTGGCATGAATGGTACAAAACAAAGCTAAATTCAGATTCTGTCTGCCGAGTTCTGTCCTTATGGAGGGCATCAAACAAAGACAGGTAGATTTGCCTAATCCAGAATAAGAGTAGCATGATTATGTGGACATTCATCCCACTGCACCAGACTGCCTAAATTCTCTGATTTACCTGTCCACTCTCTGCAGTCTGACTTGTATCATTCAGTGATGCACAGATCTTCCTTGTCCAGTTTCTATATATCCCAAATCCTGAGCATCTTTGCTCTCAAGATAAATTTCTCTCCAAATATTCTGAGTTATTCTGGATACTATCAAATAATAATCAGTGTGAGATAAGAACTGTTGAGAATTCATTATTTTCTGCAGGGTTATAGTACAAATCCTCCCCTCAGCATGCCTGAATAATTCCATTAGTTGTAACAGAGAATGAACTCCCCGCTTCTTAATCACCTGCCCATAACCCATGCCAGGACTGGATACCAAGTTAGGTCCACATAACTAAGCCATTCTTTACCCCTAGCAATACTTTCCAGCTAATGTTTTCAGTTTCCTTTACAAAGTTACAACAGCAGCAATAAAAAATGTTAAGGAATTTTAATGCTGCTTTACTGCACCTTTAGAAGTTCAGGAAAAGTAGAAACTTGCAAGCTTTAAGGAAAGGACACCTTTTATTGTAGCTCTCAGGAACAGACATGTATCGGGTTCTTACATCTTTCCAGCAACATTACTCTCTTCTCCACCAC